TGGAAAAATACGGTACTTTGGATGTAACCACAGCCGTCTTTTCCAACCAAGATGATCCTAATTTGACATCTGTAGATAAGACAAAGCTCCATACAATTGACCTCCCACAGGTCTTTGAAGAGCCAGCTGGTGGTTCTGTTCATGGATCTTCTCAAGCTCCACCATCGTGGGCAAACAACAGAGAGACTGGGCATCCCTGAGCCAGTGTGACAACCTCCTGCTTGAGTGGAGGCACCACAGGCCTGCCAGATTTGGAAGCCAGCAGCATCGCGACAAAGTAGAGTGGCCCACCAAGGGCTCAGCTAAGCCTGACCGTGCTGCCAGCTTGAGGGTGCAAGAGGGTTTTCAAGCACTCAGCAGGCCAAGTCATGTAGCCGGTTTGGTAGATTGCGGGTCACTTACATTTCCTTTGGAGAAACACAAGCTACGTCTAGCACTATCTGTCGATATTTCCCCCCTCCCCTTGTGAAATTTTGTATGCAGACATGCCAAGCCAGCTGTTATTTCCAAGCACTGCATGCAAGGAAACAGGGACCGATTTGCCTTAAATATAAACAGGACTGCACAGAAACGTATGCACAGAGGTCTGTTCCCTCCTGCCGTTTGTGCTCTTAGCAAGACGTATTGGCAGTGTTTGCACCACTATGTGGAAGGGACACACTCTGGTGCAAACTGCCAGTTTCTCCTGCTTTGCCCTCCCTGCTCACTTAACCAAGTAACTATTAACTAGATAGATAGCTTAGTGTGCTTTTCAAACCTGGGATTATGGTTTAACTGTCCCAAATAGTCCAATATTGCAGGCCAACTTTGTAGTAGCATACGATTCCTGGTTTGTTTGGGCAAAATATACCATAATTCCAATTTTAGGTACCAAACTAAACTAGACTTCCCCAATCTAGTGCCTTAAGCCAATGACTGGTGAACACACCCATTTTTAAGCCTAGGAGAAAATCTTCCATTGGCACTAGCAGGACTCTGTGGAATAGATCAAGGGCCCCGAGAAATAATTGGGGACCACGGGTCCAAGTCCAACAAAACTTTTTTAACCTTTGTCTTGCCATAGCAATCATACCACAATACACCTTGCCTGATTTCCTGCCAGGTCCTTCAGCTACCTATTTTGTCCAACAACTCCCATTAGCCTGAGCCTATGGTGAGGAATAATGGGAGATGTAGGTCAAAACATCTGTGGCATACAAGTTGCCCACCCTTAAACTAAAGCAATTCGGGCTTCTAGCATGCTAAACAAACCCCTGAACTGTAACCTGGGGAAAGGAAAAAGTGGGAGCTACCTTGGTAGTACTCAGGCTGATGCTACAGGTCATGAGCAGGATTTCATGCTCCTCTTCAAGAAGGACCTCATAGTATTTCAACCATATTTAAAATGGGGCCAGGGCATTATTTAAAATAAGTGGGCTACTAACAACCTGACTGGCTTTGGACTTCGGACTAGATAAAAGGGCGCAAGAAGGCAGATTGCACAATAGTAAATTGCAGTTTATTTTTTAATTAGGATTTCATTCACCAGGGAAATGTTTAGATACTACGTTGATTAAGTTAAGTATAACTCTCCATTCACTTCAACAGCAAGGGTTGCTTTAAATTTGTTACACCACATCACTTTTTTAAGGAAAAATGTGAATTGTATGCACGCACGTGCGCACACACACATACACTGATGTGTTTTAAATTAGTCATTGTTCTTCAAGGGGGAAGGAATCCCTCCCCCATTCAGACTCCACCACCAAGTATATTTTTGATATCCTGCCTGACCAGCATTCCCATTTAATTCCTTAGAGGGGGAGGTTTTTTGGTAGACAGAGCTGTGATAAGGAGGAAGACCTTGCACTGGGAAACCAAGTGGAGTCGCAGTCGTGAAGGCTGTTGTATAATTGATGGATGTGGAAGGTACAGCCAAGTACAGAGTACCAGCAAAACATTATAAAAGCCTGGCAACATATTCCATCCATGTTCATCCCTAAACGTCATGTACCGTGTACGAATAACACTGTGGAGACTCTGGGAGGAAAACCAGACCGCATGCTCATCCCTGGGCAAACATCAGAGCGGAAGGAATGCCTTGACCGAAAGTTCCTCCAGTCCAACGCTCTTCCTCCAGCAGGGCCCATCAAGAGGTTCCCAGGAAACTCCTTTGCAGATCCCCTCTTTTTCCTCCAGAGGTATAATAGCCCCCAGGTGGCCTATCCTCCCATAATTTTTCTAATCTCCTTTTCCTTAAACCATCTATGCTAGCAGCCATCATCAGCCGGAAAGAATCTGCTGAAGTCGGGATATCAGCAATGGAATCTTGCACGGCTGTCGATGTGTCAAGCCGCTGGTTTGTTTGCAGTGCGCTGCTTGGTGCACAGATCACAGCCTTGACTGTCCAAAAAGGGAAGATGGATCACTGTGGGCCGACTGCAAGGCAGGGCAAGCTGGGCCAGCCCAAAAGTATTTAAAGAGAAGGGGGTTATATCAAGTGCTCTACTGTCAAAAGGTAACAGACCCTGATGCAGTGACAGTGCCGCAAGCAGGTTAGAGATGATGCCACCAGACAAAAGAGCATAAATATTTGCAATAAGGGTGCTGTGCAAGGCCAACTTAATATTTTTAGAAACAAAACATACATACACACAAATGCACCAAAATAATCTACAAATAATAGTGGAAATATTCTAAATGCCTCTATATTAATCAAGAGTTTGCCCTCTGGGATACAAAAACACATACAGCAGAAACAAAAATGGATTTGGACAGAATACAGCACATGTGGATGAGCTAGAATTGCGCCTTTTCCCCTGTATCTGCAGAATTAGGGGATATAGATGTCTGTCCCCTTCATTTGCATTCAAGATGGCAAAAAGCCAATTGTTCAATGTGTTTAATTAACCTGTTGGATCAACTGCTACAATAGGTCAAAGGTTAGGTTTCCTATCAGACACTCTATTAAATGACAAACATTTTCTTAAAGGATGTCTACCAAAAGGATAAAAGCTAACCACAAAATTACTTAGATATAGCAAACAACAGTCTTCTATGGACAGCTAATTCCAAACTTTCCCCATTGCATTACTTTTACAGTTTCATTTCAGGCTACCTCTGTTAGATCTAGATTTATATACCCACCAACAGTCTAAAGCTGCGGGTGGATCACAACAGCATTTGTCTTTTTTCCCAATAATTATAAATGAACACAACTACCCAGTTAAGTAGGTCACTAAATATTCCTGGGGTGGGGGGTTGACTCTTAACCCCCATTTTTTTTTCCTTCATCTCTCTTTCCTTTTCAAACACAGAGGAGGAACAGAGGCACAAGGACTCTGTCCGCTGGATCTGATTAAAATAGCTTTTTTTCCCAATCTGGCTAGGAGGGACCACTAGCAGGATTAGAACTGGCAAGAACACGCTTCTGAACATAAACTGGACTTGACAAATGGGAACATACAGAAATCAGTGGGTGAACCAGACACAGCCATCCTGGATCCTCCACCTCGGTCCTTAGGGCTGCAATATTTAAAAAAGAAAACACACACACAAACTGGAATCCATTAACAAATCTGATAGGATTTCTCAGGGTTCAAACAAGGGTTATATGTGGCTTGCTCACTATAGAAGGGAAACCGTCCTCCATTTCTTAGTCATTGTGTTCCTGTGTTCAGTGGTCCAAAAATACAAGCAAGTTGTGTTTCTTTCAGTTCTCACCTTGGTCAATTTGGTTTTCAACCTGTGTACATATAAATTGTGTATGTGTGTGTACGTGCGTGCATGCGCACACATGCATGTGCAAACATGTCTCTCTCACACACGCATGCACACACACACCCTCCACCATCTCAGTCCATTGTGTGAGCATTGATGGAATCTGCTGCCTAGAAAGTCCTAGGCACCCATAAACTATCCGGTCTCTTAAAGTGCAATAGCACAATTTGTCTTCCTGTTGCTATAGAATAACACGGCTCTTCTGCCACTGGATGTCCAGCCCTAACAGCCACACTGCTGAGAAAGTACAGCAAAGAGCAAAAAGTAAGGGGAAATAAAAACATAGTTCCAAGGTCTGGGAAGCCTGCCTTTTACAGAGGCCTCAGACAATCTACCAATGAGACATCAGTAAACTGAATTGACCTCAATCTGTAGAAGGCGAGTGGCTGAGTTTTCTGTCAAGCAGCGCCTCATCACTCAGCAGACAATAACTAACAGAGAGCATCCAGTGGCTGGAGCTACCATCCAAAACAAGTTAAGTTAAGCCCTGAAGCAAAAGGCTACCAAGGTTAAATGATTACTAGCACTATGTCCTAAGGGCAGATTCTCTGTCACTCAAGAGTTTTTGCATAGAGATTGGAGTCTTTTTTTTCATTCCCAAAGAGACCTGTGGCCTGGCTTGTGTAGGTAGTCGAAAGAGACAGAAACAAAAGAAGGCCCAGTGAATCAAAATAATGGACCAACTAGGAGGTTTGCTCACAGTTCAATACGATTAAGTGATATCGATAGATTAGACCTTTAATACAATCCAAATGTTATATACGAGGTTTTCAAGTATTTCCAAAATTCCTGTCAGGGAGCTGTTTGGTAACCTTGAATGTTGACAATCCAACAAATTCTGGGAATGCCCCCAGTCTCAAGCATGTGGCAGTGAATGCAGACGACCACCTAATCAAGAGCATTTCAACAGTGTATATCCAAAATGAAGAAAAATACACAGCTATTTTCCAGAGAATATTCAGAGAATTCATCCAGGATTATCAACATTCACATCCAAAGTCACAACTTTTGAGCATTCTCTAGAACCCTATATAAAATTTGGATGCTATTAAAGTTATTCTATTGTACACTGATATCCAGTAATTGTATTCTGTCAGTGGTGGCTTTTCTGGTGGAATCTGAAATCATACTGGCAAAATCCTTCAAGAAATTTCCTGCCCTCTTAAAAAAAACGTTCCCCGAGGCACACAGTTCTCTCTCATCCCACTCCTCCTCCCACTGTGAGAGCAACCTGTTAAAACAATGGGATGGGATAGGCAAATAAGGGATTCTCTCTGTTGTGAATCTTCTCATGTCTCTTATGATGGGAACTGTGGCTGAAACATTTGCCACAGAACCGGCATGCATAAGGTTTCTCCCCAGTGTGGATCCGGTGGTGCTGGACCAGGGTTGATTTGTCAGTGAAGCAATTCCCACACTCGGAGCACACATAGGGCTTCTCACCCGTGTGGATTCTCTGGTGTCTAAAGAGGTTGGAGCTGACATTGAAGCTTTTCTCACAGATGTTGCACTTGTAGGGTTTCTCCCCGGTGTGGATGCGCATGTGTTTGATGAGGTCAGCATTGTGGCTGAAGCTCCGCAAGCATTCCGTACAGGTATTCAGCACTTCTGCTTTCTGTTTTGCCTTGGGCTTCTCGCCCATGCTGCTGGGGTCAGCAACATCCCCCTGGACGCAAGCATCTTGCTGCTCTTCTGGGGAGTCTTTCAGGTGCTTCTTCTTGTGTGAGCTGCGGCTGTAGCTCTTGCCACAATCGATACACTCGTAGGGCTTCTCTCCTGTATGGATGCGCTGGTGCTGAGTTAGATTTGACTTGTCGTTGAACCGCTTGCCACAGTCGAGGCATATGTAAGGTTTCTCTCCTGTGTGGATTCTCTGGTGTCTATTCAGGCTGGAACGGACAGAAAAGCTTTTTCCACACTCAGAGCATTTGTGTGGTTTATCGTCAGGCTGGACTGGCCATGGGTTGATCAGGCTTGAGTTCTGGATGAAGACTTTGCCACATTCAATGCAGATATCAGGGATCTCTTCTGTCTGGGTACCCCGGTGGACCAAAAAGGCTTTGCGCTTCTTGATGGTATGCACTGGTTTCACTGGCCACGTCATGGAAGGGATCTTCTTCTCCCGTACTTCTGTGCCACGTGCTTGGCTGTGCCCAGGACTTAAGCTCAACATCTTAAGGAGCTTCCTTTTGGTCACAAGTTGTGATCTAGCCTCCTCAGGGCTAAAGTTCTCCTCCATGTGGCTCATTTTTTTACTTCCTCTCACCTAGCAGGAAATCAAATGTGTTGCTCTTTTAAGAAGAAAGGACAATTCTCAAAATAGCAAAAACATTGACCCTTTAAATCCCACCCCATTATCCAGATGCAAACCCACAATATCCACAATCAGATGACGTTCTGACACCAAAAAATGTGAAAATATGGCATTCCCACATCGCGTCCTCTGTGTCATAGTTGCCTTCTAGCTTGCAACTTCCGTCAGTTTGTGTTTTTGCTCGCTTAAGAACTAAAGATGCAAAAAGAGAAGATTAATACAGCAACTGGCCCTTAACCCCTGACATTCAATTGCTCCTGACTTCACAGGGAGCACACATCAACTAATTTCAGCTATAGTTAGGCAAATAAATTTGGCAAAATCACAGGAGTCAAAAAGGTCTGAAGATGGTCACCATTATATTTATATTTATACCCTGCCTATTTCTAGTGACTGGGACTCTAGGCAGCTCTCTGTTGCTCTCTGTTCAGGGCTATGTATAAGCCACAGTTCCACAGAAGTGCAGAAAAACTGTTCAGTGTGCTATCAACCTCTCTGTTCAGCTTTCTAAGAATTTCAACTTTCCTTCCTTTCTTCCTTCAAAAAGCAAGATTTTAGGCCTTATGACCAGGAAGAAGGGACATGCTGGAATGGAATACTCTATAGAAACCTGGGAAACCTATTACCTAAGGAAGTTGTGCACTCTGCCTCACTAGAGGCATTCAGAAAGCATCTGGACAGTCATCTGAATGGGATGGTGTAACTTAGTGACCTGCAATAGCAGAGGTGGACCCAACAGCCTTCTGGCCCCTTCCAGCTCTACTATTCTATGGTTCTGTGACCCCTGGAAATGGCACATGGACTTGCTGCACTCCAGCCGCACACAGGGCAGTTACTTGCACAAGCAGAAAGCAATGCATCCTGACACCATTTGATACTTTTGGCTCAGGACTCCATACAGGACTGAGGAAAAATTTGTGCGTTGCCTGCTCTGCTCCCTGAGAACAGTTGCAGGTACCAAAGGCAGTCTGGAAAGCCATATGGCACTCCAAGAAGCCAGAATGGGCTTTGAGGCCACCAGTTTCTGACCTCTGCTAGAGACAATGTGGCATTGTTTCAGAAATACCCTTATTTCTATATACTAGCAAACAAAAGGCAGCTCATTCACGGTCAACTAGCATTTGCACTGTATCTCAACTTTTCCCTGGCAGTTAATGTCAAAAAAAATGTTGGACTTCACACCTGGCAAAGCAGCCTAAAGACATGAGTAACCCCAAACACATGAGAAGAGTTACTGTTACTTGGGGTTCTTCTGTACACAACTTTCCACTTTTTGGAGCTGATTGCCTAGCACAAAAACATGCAAACGGCATTCTTATTTTTGAAAAATGAAGGTGTTTACAAAATACACAGGCTGTGTCTCATACACGGATGTCACCTGTAAAAAGCCACAATCGACACTAAGTAATTCCCTTCTGTAAGAGGCACTGTCTCCATGTATTTTGTGCCCAGGCGTGTGGGTGGGGGAAGAAAGCTTCTCAAGCTTAACGATCAATATGGGAAGTAAAGTACTCCGCACATGCTCAGAGCCTCTTTTTTTTTTTTTACTTACTCCCTATATAGTAAGTACAAACGGCATCAAATCTACCCCACCCTTGTGGAATTCAGCCACCCATCCCAGGCGGATTCCAGCTAAACCAAGGTAGAGTGCAAAAGCCAACGTTGTAAACCAGGCCAGAAGCAGGCGACTGCCTTGGACGAAAAGGTTCCTAACCCCGCAATCCGGAGCAAATCGCGTTCCCGATCCGCATTTGGTTCCGCCCAGGTGGCGTGATGCAAGGAGCAAGCAGCCCAAGGCTTGACGGCGAAATCTGGCGTCCCACTCCTCCCGCTCTCATCCCCGGCGGTGGTCGCGGGAGATGCCGGGGGGGGGTTGCTCGTCCCTACCTTGCGATCAAGGAAGTCAGAGCTCATGGGGGTCAGTAAGGCGTCGGCGACCAGGTCTCCCTGTCCGGTGGCGGTGAGAAACGCGCGGGTGGGTGCGGGAGGGAAGGAAGGGAGCCCTTTTGTGCGACCAATTCAGTCGCCTCCTTGGCTCAATGGCTGAAAGATCTGAAACGCAGCCTGCATTAGCACCCCAACTCTCCCTCCCGCCCCGCTTCACTTAAGGCTCCTCGAGGAGCATGGGGAGCCCGGATCCCCCCGCCTTCGCGTAGGGAGCAGCCGCTGTCGAGCGCGGGCTTCGCGTCCACAATGGAAGAGCAGAAGGTGAAGGAGGAGGAGGAGGAGGAGGAAAGGAAGGAGGCGGCCGCCGCTTGCAGCAGCACCACCAAGTAGCTACCTCTGACCCAGGAAACTCAATCCGAAGAGGCCGACCCGAGCAGACAAAGGGAGAAGCCTCCTAGCCGTGCCAGAGCCCCCTGCTGGACAAGGGCGCAAGTGCGCAGGGGCACTCCGCGCTCCTTGGCGCTGCCTTGCAGGATCGGGCCGGGTAGACGTTGCCACCTTTAAAACAAGGCGCAGCAGGTTCGGTTCTGATATCTGAGGCGGAGCGCCTCTGCGCTTGAGCAGAGTGCCGTCCAGTTTGGACAGAAGGCCTTTGAAATCTGGGCAAGGAGGTGCCACTTAGGAAATGTACGCAAACATAGGCCCAAGAAGCAAGAGCGACAAAAGTTTCCCAGCCGCACCTCCGTCTTTTCAGATGTTACGTGTTCCTGGTGTGTAAACAGGTTAAGGCTAGGAGGAGTAAATGCTATTTGGCTTAGTAAGTTAAAAAGAATGAAGGGAGAAACCCTTGCTTAGAGAAAGGGAGGAAAGAGGCCCATAGCCTCCGGGTTGCAAGTGTCTCTTGAGAAAGCTGTTCCTCAAATGCAAGAAGGGCAGTGCAGTTCTATGCATCAGGCCCGCAGCCAGCCTAAACATTCTGAAGGGGTGAAATGGAAACTACCCAGCCAGTTAGTCTGGGTTTCAGGCCTTTTAAAGACATATGTATTCACTTTTTAAAATTACTTCTTCATGAAAATATTTTAGGAGGCCAAGCCTCCAGGTACAAGCCCCCTATGCATGGTCTCGGCAGATGTAACTCCCATTGGGTCAATGCGACTCATTTCCAGATTAGTGGATTCGGAATAGGAACTTTAGCAGCAAAGGCTTATCAATTTGAAAGAGCCACAGATTTGTCACAAAAGGGTCCCAAGATATGTATCAGCAGTACACCCAGGACTCCAGCGCTTTTCCTTGCGCTAAAGACAGGTTTGTAATTAGTGGAAGTTAGATCTGGCAGCAACCTCCTTATAGTATAGAAATGAGGAGGAGAGAGGCTTGGGTATGCTTGAGTTCACCTTCCCAAACTCTGTGAAGGGAACAAAGGAAGGAAGGAAGCTGCACCAAATCTAGGCAAGTTGAAAGATGGAATATATGGGACGGATACCATGATGTGGAGCTCATCAAGTTCTCCATTTTTTCTAAGTGGCACTGTTTGGCAAAGTAATCATGAAAGCGGCCAGCGTCTACAAACTCTTATTTAATGTTTTGCTTCACTGAGAATTGCATGTTCACAATTACTTTGTGAAACCACAGCATTCTTGGACAGTAGTCAGGCTTTCAGAAATCTACACCTGTGTATCTGCAGTCTGGCAGAGGAATATTATTGGACCTCGGGGCAGATTGTGTCACCTTTGCAAAATACGGGAAGCTATGTAACAATTTACTGTTTACTGTATGACCGGACTCCTTATGTTACATATAAAGCAGCTTTGTTTGCCTAAGCAACAAAACATACCCTTTTAATCACAGAATGCTATTGCCATGGACTGTGAAGGTGATATGTGAACCTGACTTGCGCTTTGTGTTCTGTTAGTACATGTTTTTGGTTGGGTTTTTAATCGCCATCATCCATAGAATAAAACATTTGATCCCAGTTTAGAGACAGTATACCTCTGGTTACCAGGAGTGGAGCAAAACAAGAAAGGAAAGCCTGCCAGTAGCTCCCCGGGAACACCTGAGTAGTATCTCTCAAAATGGAAGGATTAGGACCAGTTGTGCTCCCCATTCAGACTCCTGCCTGTATCTCTTCCCATCTCTTTCTGGGAACTTCTATTGCCAGCCAACAATGGAGATGGGAATAAGTTTGCCCATTCCTCCCCTGTTTGGATTCAGAAAAGTGTGGTTGAGTTGCCATCAGTTCTTCTGGCCTGTTAAAGCTAAGGTGGCCAGATGCACAAGAGGATTGGGTTCCTTTACCATTAATAAATATTTCAGCAGGTGGTGTTAACATGGTAATGTAAGCATGGTAGCCAGATGAAGGCGCATGCATGGCCCCATTACAATTGGCTTTAAAACAATCAAACAAACAAATGCTCCAGTGGCTGAGGTATATTTGTTTTAATCTCATTGCATTTTCTTGTGCTTTGTAATTTTGTAAACCACTTTGTGAAGGCAGTGCAGCTTGATAGACATACTGAACATATTCTAAATCAAGTAATCGCTTTTTACTGGGACTGGGACTGCCGATATTCATCCCAAATCCTGAAGAGTACAAGGCGAAGTCGTGAAATGCCTTCTTCTCTTTAGCATTTGAAGTGCCACGTTTTGCAGTACTCACCAAAACTCACCCTTACTTGAATGAGCAGAGCCTAGGAATGGTGACCCATGCGCTGGTAACCTCCCGACTGGACTATTGTAATGCATTCTGCATGGGGTTCCCTTAAAGACAGCCCGGATACTTCAGTCAGTCCAGAATAGAGAGCCAGGTTGCTAACAGGGACTGGCATATATACACACATAACGCCGGCTGTACCATCTGCACCAGCTTCCAGTTGAAGGCCAGTCCCAATTTAAGGTACTAGTGATAAAGCCCTAAATGGCTTAGGATCTGGATATCTGAAGGAGTGTCTCCTTCTGTATTTACCTGCCTGCCCCCTAAGATCTGGATTGGAGGTCCTTCTTTGGAAGCCCTCTTTGAAGGAGATCAGAAGAGTGGCTATTGGAAGAAGGGCCTTCTCTGTGGTGGCGCCCCGACTGTGGAAGGCGAGTCTGGCGCTGACACTTTTCATTTTGGCACCAGGCTAAAACCTTTATTTTCCCGTTATTTTCAATGTTATTTAAATATTTTAAATCTGTTCTAAGATGAGATTTTATTCATTTATTGTAATTTTCCAATGCTGTATCCTATTTATTTATTGTATCACTGCCCTGAGACATTGTGAAGGACAGGATATACAAGCCTTAAATAAATAAATATGTCCCCAGTTTTTCCCAGTTCCCCAAAATGTCATTGCATCATGACATGTTGTTCTGAGGGGCATTCCAGAAACAAAACAGAACTACTCGCTTAGTTGGCTGCCACCAGTGAGACACCATTCCCCTCCCCTCTCATGCTCCCAGAAAGGATGCTGCACTGCTCCAGGAAGACTAAAACATGATAGCTTGTGGTGCAAAAGGAAAGGGGATTCTAGCAGCTTTGCAGCCCTGCCCTCAAATTCCACCCAAGTGCCCAAAACCTGCCCTTACTTTCATAACCTCTGAATGTGGCTGGGAAGGTGGGAACCAACATTTAATCTCTGCCCAGGGGCTGAACTAGGGTTGCTAACTGGCCTGAACAAAAGCAGGGAAGAGAGGAGAAGCTAGCTGGCCTCCCACCCCCTTCACAGCAGTTTGAGATGGATTTCAAGGCCTGGAGCTAAACAAGATCATCTGCTAATTAAAGTGACAGCTTTGCATGTGGGCAAAACTAACCAAAAACTACCTTCTTCATGTAAGTATACAGCTTAAAATGCAATGTTTTTGAAATGGAAAGGACCAAACTAACAACTTCCCATAAAGGTCACACCTCTGGTCAGTCAGGTTTTTTTCTCTTACCCCCTTTAATCAGGTGGCCATTGCATCAGGTCAGCAAAAGGTTCTACCAGATCAGTTTACCCGTGAGGGCCAAGGAGGCTTCAGCAGCCTTTGAGAAGATTTCTGCTTGCTTGCAAACGGGCCTTTGGTCACACTGGTAGATTCAAGTGTCCACAGTCGCCCCCTGGTGAGGCCGTTTCCTTTTCCTGCCCTTTGGTAGCCCAGAGGGCAACCCTGGCATGACCAGCTCCAGCTTTTGCTGTTTTAAGCAGCCACAGTACTGTTCTTATTAGCACATAGACTTTTGCCATCAGCTATTCAAATGACAAATTAGTACATTTTCCCTTATCTCCAGAGGGCCAACTGCGGATTACATGGAGGTACCTGTTATTATTATTTGTTATATTTATATCCTGCCGTTTTTCCTGCAAGGAACATAATGTGGCTTACATAATTCTCTACTCTCATTTTATCCTCACAACAGCCCTGTAAGGTAGGTTAGGCTGAGAATCAGTGACTGGCCTAAAGTCACCAGGCATGTATCATGGCTGAGTGGTCTCCCCAGTTCTAGTCTAGTACAGTAACCATTCCATCACATGAAGTATTACACAATTGTTGTTGCATCGTTTTTATTGCTGTAAGTTCCCTTGAGTACTGTGTTCAAAAGTGGGGAACAAATTAATATTTGAGGGAATGAATGTCTCCTCCGGGGGCTGCAGTTGGAATGGAAAAGCAATTTGGGTGGGGAATTTGCTAAAAACTGTTTTCCCGCGCAGGCTGATTTTTTCTTCTCAGCAGAAATGCAGATGTGTACATAACAAGGTTGTATTTACAGAACGTGGGTTTACCTCAAGATTCCTTCCTTAGGTAGTCATAGCCAGTTCGGGCTCCATCCGCATGTTTAGACAGAAAAAAAGTCCTTCATCTCCCAGTATTCCTCAGCTAACCAGGACCTTTTTTTTACCTAAGTATGCATAGGATTGTACGCCTAAACACTTACCCCAAATGTCTGCTTTTCTGCTGTCTCAATCCTACAAGGTCCTCTTGTTTTCATGCTGGCTGGTGTTGGGAGAATTTGGATAAATCCTGCCCAAAAAATGTTGCTTATATGTGCTTTTGTGTTATAGAATCAAACCTGCACTCTTTCTCAAAAGCATCAGATTTCCAAGCCAAGTCACTGTTTAATCTTGCTGTTGCCTTAAGAAAACTCCTCCCCCCTCCCTTCTCTTGCTCTTCTCCTCCCCTCTAGCTGTAAGCCAGAGCAGACAAGCCATTCAGTGGAATACACAATCACAGCTACAATGTTGCTGCATAGTCCCTGTAGGAATTCAGTTTACTAAGAAGTAGTTAGCTAGCCCAGAGCTAGCTAACTAAAGCTAGCTAAAGCTGTATAGCCAATCAAAGAAGGTGCAGAAAGGTGCAGATCCATTACTCAGGGTCTGAGCCTTCCTAATAATGGAATGCAACAGATGAGCTTATGAGTTCATGAATGGTTTCTCAATAGCCTGAATGTACATGTTTAAGCAGACCCTGTGATGGGTTCAGGTTTCTGGAATTTACTCAACTGAAATGTCAATTAGAAATATTGGAATCTTATTGTCATGGGATGCAGGTGGCACAGTGGTTTAAACTGCTGTGCTGCTGGGCTGGTTGATCGAAAAGTTGCTGGTTTGAATCTGCACAAGGGGGTGAGTGCGTGAGTGCGTTCCCGTTGCTCCGTCCCAGCTCCTGCCAACCTTGCAGTTCCAAAGCATGCAAATGCAAGTAGATGAAAAGGTACCACTTTGGTGGGAAGGTAACAGCATTCCTGTTGGTGCACTTTGGTGTTTAGTCATGACCACAGAGACTGTCTGTGGACAAGCGCTGGCTCCCTCGGCTAGGAAATGGAGATGAGCACCGCCCCTGGAGTCAGGCATGACTGGCCTTCATGTCAAGGGGAAACCTTTACCTTTACCTTTACTCTTATTGTCACTTGTATGTTTGGCTGATCTTCCTTATTTGTTCTGTATATGACGACCTCAGAATTTCATTGTAATGTCTGCCTTCTGTCATTAATTGCTCTGTACCTGTGTACATGACCGGGAGTGTATAAAATGCTCTGTTACTTGTATTGAAACCTCGCAGTTGAGTTTGCCTCTGCCCGGTAATGCATTCTCATTAGTAAAACTGCAGGGTATCCTGGGGCTTATGTCAATAAAGCAGCGGAGGTTCGAATATTTGATCCTTCCCACGAACCCAAGTTTTTATTTCCTCCTGACAACTGAAAACCGAGATTCTGTCCCTGGGAAATGCTAAACACCCAGGAGTGCCTTCTAACTTCTGAAGGTCTTTACAGCAGATGTGGCATGCAGTGGCAGGAATCTTTTTTCCAAGGTTGTGGTTTATTTTTTAAAACAAAATGACATGGGAGAGCTTGCTTCATTTTTCCCTTCCTGCCATTTTCCCTCTCAAAGTTACACTCCTCTCTTGCCTGCCTTCTATTCCCATGTGGGCAAAAAACCAGTCTATTTTTGCATGGAAAATGGATGGAGGGGGAAAGAGTAAATGTCTCAAGGCTGCTTTTCATCTCAAGGCTGCTTTTCATAAGTAAAAAAATCCAGGGAAAAACACATATGATGCTGTGTTGTGTCTATTTGAGATATTGCCTGCTTGACATTTCACTATATTTCTTTGGTAGTCCCACAAATGTGGCTTCCTGGCTGACCACTAGCTTCACAATTTCTCCTTTCTCAGTTTCTCCCGTGGTGCCCCCTCTTTGCCAAAACCTTTTCCTTCCTGCATGCCTTTTATTCTGCTGTTTCTATTCCCCCATCATCCCAGCCTTCCCAAACCTAGGACCCTCCAAATGCTTCAACTCTCAGCAACCCCACCAGAAACGCTGGGAATTGTACTCCGAAACAGCTGGAGGGCACCAGGTTGGGGCCTGCTGTACCGTCTGTGTGTGTCCCAATTTCTGCTCCTTGCTTTATTCTGTGGATGCTGCATTATGGCTTGCGCTCTCCCAGCAACTCTCTCAGGGAGGCCCAAAGGCACGAGCGTGCGGCAGTCCCATCCATGTATGGCGCGGGATGTGGATGAATCATCGGAAGGGCTCAAAGGGAACCTTGCTGTCCTGCGTCATTTTCCTCCCAGCTGGAAGCATTTCTGGTTCTACGTGAAAGGGAATATCTTAAAAGCATAGATAAAATGCAGCACGGCCAGATGCAAGAGAGGAGAGGATTCCTGTGTGCAAAAGGCAATTTCAGCAGGTAAATTATCAGGCAAGCTGCTCTGATGTCCACCATGCTGCACAGTTTTAAAAGGGGATTCGACCAATTCATGGGCAATAAGAATACCAGGAGCAGTGATGGCTACCAGAGGCAGTATGTCAATTCCAGGGAACTGAAGCTATTGTATTCCCACTTCGCTTCTGGAATGTTCTATGGGAACAGAATGCTGCACTAGATATGCCTTTAGTCCCATCTAGCACAACTCTTCTGGTGTCCTTCTATATTTTCAGCATCCATTTTTACACATACCACGAAAAAATGTATAATTCCAGAAGTGCCTAATAAATTTGTCATTTTGTGTGGTTTCCTTAGAGCTTTGTACCACTGTCTTTGTGCTCATTATACTGGTTGATTTTAAACACTTTTCTTCATAAGTTACCTTGGAGGACTATAGGTAGTTTAAATCATTAAATTACCTAACAGCACAATCCTACAGTAGAAAAAAGGCCTTCCGATCCCAACAACCGGAGATTTGCCCCTTAGATGAAAGACAAAAAAGGCAATGCAGAGTGACTAGTAGTGAATCTTTATTTTATAATGAAGATTTAATTCATCTGGGTAGTGCCTAGAAACTATGAGGGAGAGTGCTGTAAAAGAAAAAAAAAAGGTCTCATGGTTTCATAAAAGTTATAGCAACTAACTAGCATTTCCCGGTGCTATACAGCCTATTGGAAACCTACAGTTTGAACTGCATGTATGCTTTACTGGGTTGCTACATTAATAAGCCAAGAAGGGAGGGGTGGGGGGACTTTTCCTTGATTCAAAGCTTGCTAAAAAATATCTGGATATGGTACAGTGCTGTGTGACAAGGAAAACAGGATGCATGGGAAAGAAGCTAAAATAATAGCTGTGGAAACATCTTAATGCCACTGAAAGAGTCATTGGTTGCAGTCCAGACCTCAGCACCGAAGTGTGACGCTGATTCTGGCATGCAGAACAAAAGTTGAATGAGGCTCAACAAGTAATAAACAAGATGGTGAGGGCTTGTTGCAAGTAACACGATACATTTATTAATTTATTTTAAAATGCCCATCTTGATTTGGGATGAAATCTGACTGAAAGTGCAGTACTGAGCATGTATCCTTGGGTTCCATGGGCTTTCCCCCCAAGTAACATGCAAAGGGTTGTAAGTTAAGCTACTTAGATCCATCTCTTAGAAATTTGAGCCAGGCTGGAAAACAAAAGAAATTGGCAAGTCGGTTTTAGAGATTTAAAACTGTTAAAGCATTTTAATTCATAGAAAAATAGCCTCAGGGATTCCCACCCCCACCCACATCCTCAGATACCAAAGCAATGCAACAGCTACTCCAATTTCCTTTATTTTTTAAATCACAGGCAGAGAAATCCTAGCCCACAGATGCTCTGTCTATGGGGGGCTAGGATAGTGTGGACAATACCCTCCTATGGCCAGGGAGCCCTGTCTGGCCTAGTAAACCTGCTGCAAGTGGTATGACCCAAATGGGGGATGAATCAAGGTTTTTCTGAATCTGCTGGATCCAAAATCTCCCTTTTCCTCAAGGTTCCCCCATGTGGATCAATGTGGCTTATTCCCTCTTTCCACTGCTTTCAGTAGGGTGGGGTGGGGGGACAGAAAGAAGAAAGGTTCTACTGGGCTTAACAACCTGGGGAAGTCTGCCTTCCAATTCCTGGCCCGGCCAGCCTGAATCTATAGGATGTCGGGAATGACAAGTGTCCCACTGCTCTTGTCTCTCAGTGTGTCCCTGCTGATCCCAAGTTCCCGGCTCTTGTCACTGAGGGTGGATTCTGGACACTGAGTGGGGCTTGGAAACTCGAAACTCCATAGTCTTGGCAGGTCTTGGGGTTTCACCTGGTGAGTTATAATAGATCTAAAGCATACAGCTAAAAAAAAGTACTGGGAAAATGGCCTTGTGTTTAGTTTTGGGCCAGCTGCCTTCAGAACAAATTAGGCAATTTTCTAAATGATTCTTAATCCTAGTTGATGCTTTGGTCAATCGATATGGATGCAAGTATCTGAAGATAATGCCCCCCCCAAAAAAAAAGATCTAATGAGGGCTTTTTTTAAGACAATATGCCACTTCTGCTGGGGTTTTCTGTGCTTTGGTGTGCCTGTCTTAATATAAAGTACAAGTACTGGCTAAGTGGCAAGGACGAAGTGAGTGTGTTCGTAATTGCAGCCTGCCCACGAGCAGGGCTGGAGGAATTTGTGCAAAGAGACACACCATAAAGTTACCCAAGTCCTGTGACTCCAAGTGGAGGTGACCATCTGGACTCTATTTTCCAGTGCAAAGCAGTTCAACCTTCCTGCACAGCGCCACCTAGTGGTGCTCATACACCACTAACGCCACGGGACTGCGGCATGTCTTTTGCACTCAGATCTCCACCAAAGAATCCAACATGCCAAGAGGAATAATGCCAAAAACTAAGTAGATTTGGAGAAAGTGCAACAGAATAATTTAACAACTACCACCACAACAAAAATTCTTCAAGTTTAAAGAAGATAGGCAACATTTCTTACAGACTGCTTGTCCTTTGAAGATGTGGAACCACAACCTACAACTGCAAATGAAATGGATGTGCTTTGCTCACAAGGGCTAAACAGAGAATCCTCCTTGTTGGAATACTTATAGCTTCAATCAGACTAAAATACAGAAATATGTGCAATATGCATTTCAAGGATCTCCTTTCTTTCACCAATGTACCCAATGACAACGTAAAAGGCTCAGCTAATAACCAGCTGACTGCAGGGTATCCCAGGGAGCAGCTTCATAAACAGCACAAGGGAAGAAGTGCAGTGCAGTCTGACACTATGAACTCACAATCCTCCACTTGTTATATTTATGCAGATTATATAAATTGCATGCAAATTAAATTTGCAGATAGGCCAAAGATCCTCTGGCTTATTATACACTGGCAGTATGTCCATCAGCACTGACCAAACCTGTCCAGCTATGCTTTTTTTTTAAAAAAAAAAGAGGAAAATAACAGAAATGGTAAGTGCTTGAGATGATGCATGGGGTGCATAACGTGGAAAAGACGTTATTGTTTTGTCCTCCTGAACCGGGTCTATTCTGCAGATGACACCACTACATTTGGTGGATGTCCAAAGGGTCAGTTTCAGATTTGACTGTTTACAAATGACAAATATTTATAAAGGATGTTTTACCAAAAAGGAAAGCACAGCGTTCTAGTACAGCCAACAATCTTCTCCAAGCAGTGCCCATCTGGGTTGATTTCAGAGTGCTGTTTCAGTCCCTATCTGGAGAAAGAGTATACATGCATCCCGAACTGGTGGCTATCAATGGGCCCAGTCTGGGCACCCCTTCCACCTTGAACAGTAATTACAAAACACCTGTGCATCTGTTTCCGTATTTCAAAATTACCAGCATTATTCAAACCTCTTCAGCTTATTGAGGAAATGCTTGACAGGAAGACGGAGCGGCAGTTTCTGTGTAGCTCTGAAAAGAAGGTGTGGGTGTGTGTATGTGTAACAGCAGGAAGTTTTTGAGGTTAGCAGAGAGCAGCAAAGGGTGCTTAACAGAGAAGTGCACCGTGGAAGTAAGAGGGTTTTTGGATGGGTGGCAATTAACCACCAGAACACCCTCTGCAGGTAAAGGACAAGATCTCTGCATAGAGAGCAAGGCAGCAAAATCATGCTGCTTGAACCTTCTTGGATTGCGCCATTTCAGACTGAAAATGGAATCACATTGCTTAATACATTTCTACACTTGGAGTTAAACAACAACTCCATGTATGTAGAAAACTAGAACATCAGGGAGAAAAGTTCTGGCACTCTCAGCCTAACACGCTAGTTTTCTAAATGCAAGGAGTTTAGTTAATGCGAAAAGCATTAAGCTATGCCATGTCCCCCACCTAGAGACTCAAGTGCTACATGTAGTCCAAGGAAAGATTCAACAAGTGATATTGCTCATTAGCCCAGCATGTCCTTTTTCAAATGAAATGGTCCACTTCATAAACACCCTTGATCCAAAAATCACAGCATGGCAGCAATATGGGATCACCACCATGATCCCCAGCCCAGTGTCACGCTTTGCTGTTAACTTTCAAAGCGGGTTGTAGGCCTCTGAAAATACATTTCCAGCCATTTGCTAGCTTAGTGGAGCAGCATAAGACAATAAAGGATACTCTCCCTTGTGGATCTTCTCGTGTCTTTTGTGGTGGGAGCTGTGGCTGAAGCTCTTGCCACAAAACCGGCAGGCGTAGGGCTTCTCCCCAGTGTGGATTCTCTGGTGCTGAACCAAGGTGGATTTGTCAGTGAATCTCTTGCCACAATCAGAGCACACATAAGGCTTCTCCCCTGTGTGGATTCTCTGATGTCTGAAAAGGTTGGAACTGACGCTGAAGCACTTTTCACAGACGCTACACTGGTAGGGCTTCTCCCCGGTGTGGATGCGCATGTGTTTGATGAGGTCTGCATTCTGGCTGAAGCTCTGCCAGCATTCAGTGCACGTGTTCAGCACCTCCACTTTCCGTTTGGCCTTGGGCTTTGCACTGGCTGCTGCACACGCCCCATCCGCCTGCCCCCCTTTGCCCAGTTTCTTCCCCAGCGGGTGCCGCAGGTGGTGCTTTTTGTGTGAGCTGCGGCTGAAGCACTTGCCACAGTCAATGCACTTGTAGGGCTTCTCCCCCGTGTGAATGCGCTGGTGCTGGGTGAGGTTGGATTTGTCGTTGAACCTTTTGCCACACTCGTTGCATTTATAGGGCTTCTCTCCTGTGTGGATTCTCTGGTGTCTGTTCAGACTGGAGCTAACACCAAAGCTTTTCCCACAGTCAGGGCATTTGTATGGCTTTTCATCCGAGTGCGTCCGTCGGTGGTTGACGAGGCTGGAGTTCTGGCTGAAGGTCTTCCCACACTCGATGCAGATATTTGGTTTCTCTTCAGCCTGAGTGCCCTGATACACCACAAAGTCTTTACGTTTCCTGATGCCTTGAACAGTTCTCGCTGGCCGGGTCTGCGGCATCTCCTCTTCTCCAGCTTTCGCTTCACAGTCACTCTCGTGGGACAGGCTGCACTCGGGATTGGTGGTTAGCATCCTATTGGGTTTTCAGAGGAAGGGTCTCTGCAAGTGACCTTCCATGGCACAGTCCTCTTCCGTGTTGCCCACTATACCTGAGGAGAGTATAATTTGCAAGCATTAGACATGGTGACACTCACAGCATTCCTGTCCATGAGGCCCAGGAGCACTAAGAGTCCAACCCCGTTTCCTCAAGCCTTTGCGCTATGAGCCCAGCGAGGCACGGGAGCGAACGATCTGAAGCGTGTGCTCTTTTGCTTTGGCTTGTGGGCGAATACCTTACACGGGCAAGGCCAGACAGGGGCTTTTCTTCTACCTGACTGTCATCCTGAGCTCATAAGGAAGCCCCACACCACAGCTCTGCCCTATTTATTTATTAAAACATTTCTATGCCGCCCCTTGCCGAAGCCTCGGGGCGGCTTACAACACAATAAAATACAATAAAATACAAAAATAACAATATAAAATTAAAATTAACAACATAAAATAAACAATATAAAAGAAGTCGCCCTGGCCAGATAAATAAGCAAATGTTGTTAACAATTAAAATGGCGTTTAAATAAAAAGGTCTTCACCTGGCGCCAGAAAACAAATAACGACGGCGCCAGGCGGACCTCTCTGGGGAGCGCATCCCTATGGGTCGCTTCACCCACCCATATGCCTCAGCCTGCCCCATAACAGCAAAGTTCTCACTGTGTGGTGGATATGTGAGAAGAGGAACTCCGGGCCCAGTCCAGTGAGGCCGCCTGTAACCCTCTGAACTTGGAGGATGACAGGCAGGGAAGGAGCTGCAGAAAGGCAATGGTTGACTCCACTCAGCACTGTAAAGCCGGCTGTCTGAACACAGTGCCTCTGGAGCACGCGGGAAGGAGGATGAGGTGCCACTGCAGCACATCTATATATCTTAGCAGCGCTGCTCCCCTTCCTCTAAACCTCCTTTTCAAGGTCGTTCTTATGACCTTGGCAAAACAACCAACTTGGCTGTTTCTGTACCGGCTGTCAGGATAGGGGAAAATTTAAGGTGTTGGTGATGACCTATAAAGCCCTAAATGGTTTAAGATCTGGGTATCTGAAGGGGCGTCTTCTTCTATATTTACCTGCCCACCCCTTAAGATCTGGATCGGAGGTCCTTCTTCAGGAGCCCTCCATGAAGGAGATTAGGAGAGTGACTACCCAGAGAAGGGCCTTCTCTGTGGTGGTGCCCCGGTTATGGAATGCATTCCCCAGAGAGGTTCGCCTAGCTCAGACACTTTATTCTTTTAGGTGCCAGGCCAAAACCTTTTTTCATTTTCCAAGTATTTTAAGGTTTAGATTGTGATTTTAATTGAAGTTTTAACAGAATGGATGCTGTGCTTTGCTTTACTTTGTTTTATTTTAAGACCGTCCTGAGATTATTTTGTAGTAGACAGTATACAAACGTTTTAAAAAATAAATAAATAAATGGCACTGAGAGCAGAGTCCCAGCTCTGACATTCCAAGACAATCCGTTGGCCCTTCAGATGCTGTCTAAGGAGCCAAAGGATCTCTGTGTAGGTCCCTCCCAAGGAAAGATATCCAGGATTGCAGCCTAAAGATGCATATCCAGGTTTACTCCAATGAATTCACATGTACTTCATGGTTTGATTCCAGGTGAGTATGTGTTACTCCTTTCCTTACACATTACTGCTGTTTCTATTCTGTTGAGGTTGTCTTAAATTTGCGTTTCTGGTGGTTCCATTTTGATGTTGTTTGTTTTTTAATTTGTTCTTTACTTGGAGTTTGAGATCTATTGTTTTAATGATTTGTAAGCCACTTTGAGTTAAACTCATTTGAAAACACACACACAAATCACATAGGAAGGTAGGAAGAGGTCTCTTGGATCAGACCAAAGGCTGGTCCAGTCCAGCATTCTGTTCCCATGGTAGCTAAGTATAGGTTACTTGGAACGCTGACCATAGGACAGGATGGCCAGAGCAGCTACTCTGCTGTGGTCTCTGCCAACTGGTATTCAAAAACATACTGTTACTGATATTGAACGTTATATGAAAGCACCACTACTAAATTCTCAATATGACAAGCAGATGCGACAACCATTCTCCCTGGTTAAATGAGAGATGAAATGAGAGACGTGTCCGAAATTGTACCGCAACTGTATACATCCCTCGGGACATCCAAGATGTCCAAGAATAACAACAACAAGATTAAATACAGTAACTCTGTTATGGGAGTTCTAGAATCAGCACCATGAGCAAAAAAAAAAAAAAAAAACATGCCAGTGGAAAATCCAAATCCATCTGAAAGCACAAGCTGCAGTTACCTTTACCTCTAAAATTCCTTCCAATGCATCACCATTTTGGCATACGTTTCTATCAATGCGCCAAATCAGTGGCATCTTTTTTGAATTAAAAGTACTGCATTATGAGGAAGACAAAACTAGGTTGCTGGCAACTGTGAGTACAGAACCAGTTCAGATTATCAAAAGGTGCAATCCTATGCTAGTTTAGACAGAAAAAAGCCTTACAACTCCTAGCATCCCTGGAGAACTGGCCATTTAATGCATATTTAGACAGAAAAATGCCCTACAAGTTTCAGCATAGGATGGCTTTTTGTTTCATCAAGAACTGGGTGGAGGTATAGTAGCTTTCTGGCTAAGAGACTCTGCAACCTGGGTAGCATTAAGGAATCCGCTCCAAATCAGCCTACTGAGTACAAAGAGGTTGTTTTCCTGTCGCAAGTCTCTCCAAAGTTAGAAACATAGAAACACAGAAAACAGAGCGAGTCAGAAGGGGTCTCCCGGGCCATCTAGTCTGACCTCCGGCTAAAGCCAGCTCAGCTCACGACATGCCCATCATGTGCATGTCCAGCCTATCTTTGAACACCCTCACCAGTGGGGCCTCAACGACCTCTCATGGAAGCCCATTCCACACCCTTGGGGTCCTGACTGTCAGGAAGTGCTTCCTGGCATCCAAATGGAACCTGGGTTCCCTGAGCTTTGCTCCATTGGAGCGCGTCCTGCCTTCCTCTGCAGGGGAGAACAGGTCTCTACCCATCTCCATGTGACACCCCCTCACATACCTGTATGTCGCCAACATATCCCCTCTGAGTCTCCTCTTCTCCAGGCTGAAGAGACCCAGTTCCCTCAGTCTCGCCTCATACGGCATCCCCTGCAAACCAGCCAATAACCTTGTGGCCCTATGCTGCACTGACTCCAACCTGGCTATATCCTTTCTGTAATGAGGGGCCCAAAACTGAGCACAATACTCCAGTTGCGGGCGCACTAGAGTTGTATAGAGTGGTAGTAATACCTCTCTTGATCTAGAAGCCACACTTCTGGCTATGCAACCAAGGGTGGCGTTTGCCCTCTTGACCACCACATCACACTGCTGACTCATGTTTAGCCTGCAGTCAACCAGTACCCCGAAGTCCCTTTCACAAGTGCTGCTCTCCAGCCACTTGTCACCTAACCTGTACTTATGGCACCTATTCCTATGCCCCAAGTGCAAGACCTTGCACTTATCCACATTGAACGCCATCCTGTTGTCTCCTGCCCACTTCCATACTCTGCCCAGATCCTTTTGAATCTGGAGTACCTGCTCCTCAGTTGTGGCCACTGCTCCAGTTTTAGTGTCATCTGCGAATTTGAACAGCAGACTGTTCACCCCTTCTTCCATGTTGTTAATGAAAAGATTAAACAGGATCGGCCCCAGGCTAGAGCCCTGGGGGACCCTGCTTGTCACTGGCCGCCATCCCGATGATTCCCCGCTAATGGTTACCTTCTGCTTTCGGTCAGTCAACCATGCCCTAATCCACCGGACAGTGCTTTGGTGTATCCCAAAACTCCTCAGTTTCTCCACCAGGATATCATGGGGCACTTTGTCAAAGGCCTTGCTGAAATCCAGGTATACCACATCCACTGCATCCCCTCCATCTAGCCATCTCAAAACCTTGTCACAGAATTCCACAAAGTTTGTCTGGCAGGACCTGTTTTTGCGGAAGCCGTGTTGTGTGGCTGTCAGCCTCCCTTCCCTATCTAGCATCACTAGAACTCTCTCTATTATGAGCCTTTCCATTGTTTTTCCTACAATGGACGTAAGGCTAACCGGTCTATAATTCCCCATGTCCTTTCTACTACCCTTTTTGAAAATTGGGACCACTGATGCCACCCTCCAGTCCTCTGGAACTTCACCCGTTCTCCACGAGGCCTCAAAAATGGAGGCCAGCGGGCGTGAGAGAACCCCTGCCAACTCTCTAAGTACTCTTGGGTGTAACCCGTCAGGGCCTGGCGCCTTTGTAATGTCCAATGCCCTGAGGAGCCCCTCAACTTCAAGGGGGGTGACTCTAATCTGTGCGCCTAAGTCCTCAGCCTCATCTAATCTCCTATGCAGATATCCCCCGTCCTGCTTTGGGGAGAACACAGAGGCAAAATAGTCATTTAGCATCTGTGCCTGTTCCCTCATATGAGTCACTGGATCTCCTTCCTCCTTATTTAGTGGTCCCACCACTTGTCTCCCCTTCCTCTTCCTATTTACATGCTGAAAGAAGCCCTTTCTGTTGTTCTTGATATTCTTGACAAGTCTCAGCTCGTAATCAGCCTTAGCCTTGCAAAGAATCCTTCTGCAACGGGCCTCCTCCTCCCAGTATACCCTTTTGTCTATTTCCCCCAGTACCCATTTCCTACGGAGGTTCCTCTTTCGTCTAATCCCTCTAACCACCTCCTTTCGCATCCATGGCGGCACTCTCCTCTGCCTCCCCACCTTACTGACTAGAGGTATCGTGAAGGATTGCGCCTCCAAAACCTCCCTTTTGAGGTTTTGGAGGCTATCCACCCCTCCTCAACTCGCTTACCTTCCAGTAATCTATCCCAGGAGACTTTTCCCCAGTCTGGCCTTCAGTTGGCCAAAGTTGGCCCTCTTGAAGTCCCAGCTTCTAGTGCTCGACCTGCTGCACGTCCCCAGTCCCCTGATCTCAAAGCAAAGGATGGAGTGATCACTCGCATCCAGAGCTCCCCTAATCTGTATTTCATCTATCAGCTCCTCCCTATTGGTCAAGACCAAGTCAAGGATGTTTCCCCCCCTCGTCGCCTCTCGGACCTTCTGTGTGAAAAACGCTCCCTCAA